GGAGCGGGGGGGGGACGGACACGCACAGCCCTCGGGAATCGGGGGAATCGGGGCGGATCGGGCCGCACGGACAGCGCCGAATGCCCGCCGATCGGCGGCTGCTATCTGCTCCGATCGTCCGCATCTGTTTCCCACCGGGAACAGCTCAGGTTACCCCCGCTGGTTGCTCTCCCGGCCCCCCGCCGGGGGAAACTCGTTACTTCGGTGCTCGTCCCGAGCCCCCCGGGCCCCGCTGCCGGCTCGGGAAAGTGTTTGGCAAGGGTGGGCCGGGCCAGGGGCTCCTGCCACCTCCCCACAGTCGAACGGCAGCACCTTCCCGGGAGGGGCTCGCGCCGGGTTCGGGCTTCGAACCCGGCCGCAGGGATCGGCCGGCGGCACCGGGCACCGTCGCGGGCGGGGCGGGCGCGGCCCACACTACACTTCCCGGCGGGCCCCGCTGCCGCCGGGCCCGCCCCCGCCCCTCCCGCCATCCGATTGGCCGTCTCCCCACGGCCGGCCGGCCCTCTCCTCCTCCCGTTGGCTGGCGGAGCCGTCGCTCCGCGGGGGGTAGAACGAGGCGGGGCAGCGGCGGGGCGCCGGCGGCACGCGGGAGCTCGGCGCTGACAGGGCGGCGCGCGGAGGCGCTGCTGGACGGGACGGGCGGCTCCTGCTCGCCGCAGGTGAGGAGCGGAGCGGGACGCGGCGGCGCCGCTGCCCACAGCCCCGCTGCCCCGGTGCTCGGGGCGCCCTCTGCCGGCGAGGCAGCCGCGCGGGACCTCCGCGCCGGCCGCCGCCCCGCCTGGCGCTGAGAGGAGCGGGGCTCTCAGGACGCGGTAAGGCCGCGCGGCGCGGGGATCCGGAGCGCTCCGTTCGTGGCGGTTCTGCGGCGTCACCTCCGCCCCGCGCGGCTCGCTGCGGAGAGACATCTCCGTTTCCCGCTGTATTTACGCGGCCCGCTCGGCGGGAGGTGCGCCCCGAGCACGGGCTGCGTCCCGCTCTGCCCGCGTTGTTTGCGGCGGTTTGTTATCGCGGTTCCTCGGCCGCTCAACTTTCTGTCCCGGGCGACGCCGAGCGCGGGGTCGAAGCGCCGCGGTGCCGGAGCCGCGCCTTTGCTTTCCGCCGCTCCCTTTCGGGACGCGCGGACGCAGCCGGGCGCCCCTTTCCCTGGCCGGCGGTGCCGGACGCGCGGAGCGCCTCGCTGTGAGCGCTGCCCCAGCGCCAGCGTCCGAGCAGCCTGCTGTTGTGGCGGCCCTGGCAGGTGCGGCTGTCTCGGATGCGAAACGCAGCGAGGAAGAAGCAGCGCGATTTTTTGTTTATTTATTTGTTTGCGCGCGTGTTTTTCTTTATTTGTTTTTGAAGTGCGCTGATGGATAATGCCGCCTTGGCAGAGGGTGCCGGCACAGGTGTGCATCGTTATCTTAATTAAGATCCAGAGAAAACGTCATCTTTCAGCATGAATTATGAAGGGAGATGCACAAGGAGATCACTTCAGCCTGTTTTTTTGTTTTTTTTTTTTTGGTTTTGTTTTTTTTTTCTTCCCCATCTTCCATATGCAGAGAGAGGGAGGTGATTTCACAGCCCCTTTCTGGTATTTCTGTATCACAGTTCCTCACCTACCAGACTCATGCTGGATGATCTGTTTGCCCCATAGTTTGGGAACGCATTGTCTGGAAGCCCTGGGAAAAGCCCTTGTGTCCGAGGCTGCCCCTATGAGTCACATCAGGAGACTTTGGGCTGCAGGAGAAATTGACAGCTAGGAGAGTTTTATGTCATGCATTTAAAGGTACAAGCAACTTGCATTAGCAACAGAACAAAACTTAGGTATCTGTGCATATGTGTATATACGTACATATATATATATATATATATTTTTTTCAAATTGCAAAGAAAAAATATTTTACTTTTCTCACCTTTATAGTACCATGGAACAACCTTTACAATACTAAAACTAATTAACTGCAGAGTGGTGAGGAGCTCACGTTTTGCTGTTAAACCAACAGAGAACTCAGTGCACAGGAGCTAAAACCTCCCACACAATGCTCTGGCAGTGAGCTGCAGGCTGCCCTGCAAGCAGTGCTGTGCTTGCAGCTGCTGCCCCAAGTGGGGTACTGGGAGGTGCTGTGCATGCAGTGTGAGTCCTGCACGGCTTTCAGCATGGCGTGGTTTTTGGGGAGCTCTCCCCATGTCCCTGCACTCTACCTGTTAGTGCTCTGCTCCCACTCAGACCCTGGCACATTTTCGTCGTGCCTGCAGTCGGGACAGGACAACACAGGCAGATCTCTGCCTTGTTTTCTTCAGCAGACCTTTTCAGGCAAAATCTTTCTGTTTGTTGGAAGCTGATTATCACTCTTTATCATTTTTTAATTGCACCAAAAAACCTGTTTGGTGTGTGCAATAAAAACATGCATGAGTGCAGAGAGCCCAGAGCGGCTGTACAGAGCAGAGAGCTCCAGCAACCCCAGCAGTACCATGGGAAAACCTGAGCTGCTGTTTCTGTTTCCTTGAAGTTTCTTGTAATGAGCACAAACACTGCGATTTGCTTGAATTTGCTGCTGTGATACGGACTAAGTTAAATATGTCTTTAAGGTTAATTTTGCTTACAGTTCCTTGGGTATATGTGGTAAAAGTGATTGGCTTAGTGAAGGGGAGGGGAAAAAAAAAAAAAGAAAACCTGCTCCTTTTTGTCTCACCCACCCAGTTTTCCCTTCCAACAGCCACCTCTGCTGGCAGCTGCCTCCCGGTGCCACAGGAGCTGCAGGTGAGGGGTGGCTGTGCTCTGTGCAAGGCGCCTTCCCAGCACAGGGCTGCAGTGGGGCCACACCTGTCCCAGGGCGCAGCGGTGTGCAGGCAGCAGGCTCCTAATGGCAGCGCTGTGTTCACACGGCTCTGTGTTTCACCGGGCTGCCTTGTGCCTTTACCTCTGTGGGAGTGTATTTTTTGCAGTTCTGGTATTGGTGACAGCTGGTGAGGCAACCTTCCTAGTCCTGCAACCAGAGAATCCCTTGTAACAGTCTGAATGTTAACAGAAATCAGGGAACAACCTTTCTATTTTCTTTCGTATGGATACAGATGCAAATGATTCTTGAAGCTGTTTTCTGCAGATTAAATGAATGTGTGCTGCACAGAACCAGCATCATCATCATCATCTTTTTTTTTGTTTGTTTGTTTTCTCTCCCTTCATATAAATCATTGTTTCAAAGCACAGAGGCAGGCTGGATCCAGGTAACAGGGATTGCACTGTGCTAACGAACTCGTGACCGATTGATCTCCTGCTCCTCCTGAAGGAGGCATTTCACAGCTTTTTCTTTCCATAAGCACAGCTTTTTCAGTGTTTCTCAGCATTTCTGTCGCATATCAAGAATGCGTTTACCTCTGAAACATTTCTATGCTGGCATCCGTGAAACTTTTCATGCCCTTAGCATTTAATTTTGTACAGAATAACGCATGGCGTAGTATTTAGGTCTTCTGTTTTCAATTAAGCTGCATTAGGTAACTAAGCTCTTCTTTCATATCCCATAACAAAGTATCAATATCCAGATGGTGGTGTGCTGGGACAGCATGGCTATGGCTGCTACTGCAGAGCTGAGAGCTATTGCTGCAGCCAGCGCGATAAATAACGCCGAGGTTGTGACTCTTGGCGTATTGGAGGTGCACTAAATAATGCTACAGTGCTGTTTATTACTGGTTTCATTGGATAATATGCAGCTGTAAAACCTGCTTGAAGCTTTTATTAAGAATACTCTGTCATTATAAAAAGATGCCTACAACTTCTTTATGATATTAACAGTGCCGGAATTGCTCTGTGCTGGCTGCCTGGCTGGGAAGGAGCGCAGCTTCTCTGTGCTCCAGGATGCAGGGATGTCTCTTGGGAAGGAGACAGCTCTGGGTTGGAAAAGACACTTGTAAGGCACTTTTGTTCTGCTTGCTCTTTGCTTTTTCTTAAGTTTATTTCAGTATTTAATTTCTTGCTTCGATTAAACTTCAGCTGATATCCTCTGTGCTGTAAACGGTGCTATTGAACTGACACCAAGGAAACCTGTGTGGTTATTGGAGAGGCTGCAGGATGGCTGAGGAGCTTTAGATGGACCGAGAAGATGAGGGGGGAGACTTGGTGGCAGGAAAGGAGCAAGGAGTCTGCAATCCCAGCCTGTTTCCTCATTCAGTCTGTGGCACGTCATGTGGCCGGGATGTGTCTGCGTGTGTAACCTCCGTGCCTCTGTTTGCCTGACTGGAACCCCTTGTATTTCCTGGAAATACTCAGATTTAAGCTGTTGTCCATACACATATCACTTATTAGACTGTTGTGTTTTCAAGCAAAAGCAAATTATTCATTCTATTACTGATTTATTAATTAAATGCCTATAAGTTTCCATATTCCCCAGACCTTTGGTTGCCGTATGGCTTTATTTACGGTGCAACTCTTAGGCAACGCAGAACCAACATCCACCAGCGGGATGTGGTAATAACATGGTGTGTGTGGGATTTGACATGCGTGTTGGATCAGTGGATGAAGTGACCCTTGTGTTGCTCCGTCCTTTACCCTAAGTTGTAAGGGAAATCTGTCCCAGTTAGAGATACTTCTTTTATTCCTTTGTTATTATTCCCTTTCCCTGTTCTCCCCACGTCCATGCTTTGCCTTGGCAGAGCACAGCCAAGAGGAGAAGCAGAGAGGTCTGTGATGGGGAGAACAAATCCAGCACTCCACCCCAGCAAGCACACCTGAATGCAGGAGGAGACTTGCACAAAGCCAGAATACACTTGGGCTTGCAGCAATTTCTAGCCATGTGAAGTCCTATTCAGAGCTAATCCGAAGTGATTTGTTCTGCGTGCGGAATGATTCATCAAGTAAAGCATTGCAGTAGTGGCACTGTCCTTTGTGCTACTGGGTTCTGTCTCTAACCAGAAGCAGAAATGACGTTTCCAGTGTTAGTCCTGTTTCTTTTAAGACCATCGTATGGTGCAGTTGGCAAACGTTGTAATAATCATGTTTTCTCTTTTTCTTTTTTTTTTTTTCTCTCTAGATGAGTTCAGGGAGACTGGTTTAAGCAGTGCAGAAGTTCATGGATGGAAGAAGAGTCCTCGTTTCAGAGCACCTAAACATGAAGATTTTATAAACGCCATTAGGTAGAGAGTGTTGCTAATAGTTAAATTTTATCAGTAAGACTGAATGCTGTAACTGTGATTATGCACCACATTATTGGTCATGGATCATATGGAACTGCTTTTAATAAATGTACATAGACTGGTGGCTTAAATAAACAGTATGAGTAAGAACAGTAAATGGGGGAGCTAGGCACTAGAGGAAGTGCTGTTAGCTTATCTTTAAGCCAGCATCGTTTATTTCTGCAGTGCTGTCTGCAAGTTCTTGTATGGCTTGAGAAAGTCACAATGAAGAACAGTACCTTTTTATTCAATAAATTATTCTTATTCTTGACCAGAAAGATATATCCATTGTCCTTCATAGTTCTCAGCTGCTACAGTAACTTAATACTTTGTCCAGCAAAAATAACACTCACAGTGCTGACCTAAGAAATATCCATTTGTCTGTGGTGCTGCAGCATGTGCTGCTCTTCCTTCTCAGGGATCCTTTGCTGGGAGCTGCTGTGTGCTGCCCGCTGCAGCGCAGCCCTCTGGGACCCCTTGCCTCCAAAGATGGAATCCATGAGCCTTTTCCACTTTGAAACTGGGAGTTCTCCCTTCTGAGCCCAATGAGTCTCAAATATTGCATAAAAGGATTTGATAGTGTTGTCCAGGAGATGTGGCTGACTTAATTATTACTAATATTAAGTGCCTTACGATGCTGGGAAAGAGTCATTGCATTCTTTTTTGCAAATAGGAGAACTGGCGTGCAGGAGGAATGGATCTCATCTGTCTGCTGTGATTCTTGACCCACCTAATTGGCTGATGGCCACGAGCAATAACAGCGTGGCTCAGGGGAGCGGCGCTGGGGCAGAGAAGCACTGTGCTGTGCTGAAGGCATTGCGTGTGGTGAGTGGGGTCTCTCTCTGGTCTGGTGGCCAGTGAGGAGGTTGAAAAGGGCTGGTGGTGCTGAGGCTGTCTCTGTCGGATGGCTTCATTTGAGATTTTGTGCAGGGGAGCGATGCCCTCCGTAGTGTGGTATTGCAGTTCACTTCTAGGAGCTGCTCTGTCTTTATTTTTATTTTTTTTCCCCACCCCCTGCTTTCCTTTCACAACAGAGGGGCCTTTCCCCAGGAGAAGTTGATTGACTTCTCAGCTCGTACGTGCAGTTTTCTTGCACTTGGTTAGTCTCGAAGGCAGTAATGGGTTCTTCTGGCCTGAGAATTTAGTTTCTTTTTTAATAGTTTATTTTGCTCAGAAGAGAGTCTCTCTAGCTTGCTACAAACAACATTGATTTTGATGTGTATCAATAAAGAGTTAGTCTTAGAGATGTGTGTTTTCCATGTAGAAGATAAAGACTTAAAACCTACATGAAAGGAATGCCTGTCTCGGAGAGGCTTGCTTATATGTAGAATATGCCCTATTCTTTCGTATTTTGAAAAGACTGTAAAGAGTGTATATATATTCTTTGCAAGGAAAGAGGAAATAATTCCGTCTTTTGATTGCGTTTTTTTCCTTAGTCTTACAGTTGCAAGATAAACACTTGGAAACACGAGTTGGTAAGGTTAATGTGATTAAAATGAATATGTGATAACGAGCTCTGCGCATTAAAGATTAAGAGCTCAAATTATAGGCTCTGAAGTGGGGCACTCCATGAGCGTTTGGGATTTTTGTTTGTGCGAGGAACACGAGGCTTTGGCCCACAGTTGCACAACGATTGCGTCCTGTCTGCTGTTTGATGGTAACCGGTCTGCAGAGACGTGTCTGGTGCGCTGCCGTGTCAGCGTGGAAATGCAGTCTGGGCTGAGGCTGGGGGTGAACGAGGAGGTGATTTCTGCCCCAGTATTAGCAGTATTCTATCAAAATAGAGTGATTCACATTTACGAAGAGCGGTTTGTAGCGTTTTGACCACGCAGTAGTTAATTCTTTACGTATAAATTGATCCTTTATACAAATGTAATTCCATACACTACAGTTAATCTCTTTGAGTGCGAGTTGCAAATATGCTGGCAATTAATTTATGTAGGTTATGACTCTCTCCCCCTGGCCCGTATTCTGCAGTGGTTACCTACGCTAAAGTTGAGTTGGTTTGTGCTTAATGAAAATTAGATGTGAAATGTGATATGGAGAGGACAAAGAAGCATTGAAATCCTTATTGGTCTTTAAAAGACAAAGGTACTCCAGACAATTTTCCTTTCTTGATCTCTGGAGAATTTGATGTGTAATTCTGTTAGGAGCGATTTGGATTGAAGGAGATGGAAATATTTTCAGAAGCAGCGATAGGACCAGATATCACTGCGTGCCTTTTGCAAAGCCTACTTTTGTTTTAAAACACTTTGCATTCTGAGAGACTAACTTATAGAGACTCTGCCATTGAGAAAGAAAAGCATTTTAGAGCTTTTGTGGAGAAACAAGCCTAGCTGTTATTTCTGTGCTATTTGCTAACGGTGCACCGTTTAAATGAAAGTTTGCATAACAGCAATGGCGTTTTACCTCCTCTTCCTTGGGTTTCTGTCCAACTGGATGTTATGAGTGGCAGTTGCAGTGGCTGCTAAGTGTTTAAATGATGACACCATTATGTGAAGTGATTTTGTAATTCTTGGCTGGAATCTCTCATTTCATCTGCTCTCATCTCCTTTGAATCATACTCCCTGGCTGCAGAGATTATGATTGATTTGTTTGTGACAGATTGCAGGAAACAGTCATTGATTTTTCAATATTTTACCTTAAAATTATTTACAGTTGTAACCAAGGGGAGGTATTTCCATGGGCTGTCAGCCCCTGAAAGACTGGGATAATATTCCCTGCTCCCTGACAAGACAAATTACCCGTAATGAGTGCAGTAGCTGAAGGGTATACTTTTATTTTAAAATATGTCAATAACCCCAGTGACTAAACGAATATTGATTCAGCATAATGAAGCCTGAGTAATGTGAAAATGAGCTCTTCAAGGAGCATGGTAAAGACTTTCTTTTTAGCTTGTAGCAAGAAGCTTTTCATTCTTTACTGTTAGGTAGTGCAATTGTGCAGCTTTAAACAAGTCGTGCTGAAACAGCAGCAATATGCAGCATGAAGAACGTAGCTGCTGGTTTTTTGGTGCTTGTTTGACTGCTTATTTTCTTCAAGCTCCTTCCTCCGTGCAGTTCAGCAGATCAGATGATGAAAGAGAAAAATGCAAGTTATCCAGGGCAGAGATAGAATTACTGTTGGTGTTAATGTCTTTAGCAGTAATATTCTTCAGCTAGCCTAATGGCATTTTTAAAGTGGATTCCGCATATATGAGCATGGAAATGTATCTAAATAAACTGTAGATTTAATTTCATATTATTGACTTCTCAGACATATTGATGTTTGTTCTATATGATTGCTCTAATATTCTCGTCCTTTAACAATTTAGGATAGCTGCTTTATGAGAAGCTAGATATACTGTGTTATAAAACTTAGTTATCGTAGTGCACATTTTTCTTTCTGGTGCCTTGTAACACCGTGTGTTCCTTACAGAATGGGAATTTTCAAGCAGTAATTCATTTATATTACAGTAATTTATGCAGTGCCATAGGTGTGGTGTGGGAAAGCATCTAATAGATTAATACGGATGTACTTCAATTGTTCAGGGTAAGGATTGGATTAAAGACCATGTTGGGGTGCAATTTTCTTACTGTTAAAAATATTGAATGCTAAAAAAAACTATCACAGGAAAGGATCAATTTGTCATTTGTATTTGGGAGCACTGCGCAACACTGGGTATAAGCAACTGTGTAACGCAGGCTTATACCGAATGACATTTTGTTGGTGTTTGTGTATAACATGTCAATTATGAAATGATATTGTAGCCAGGAGCCTTTAGTGAGCCTGTTTGGGCACAAAGATGACTTCCCTTATTTTCTGAGGGGCGACTTCAGTTGCATCCAAGTAGCTTGTGAAAATCTTCAGAAGAATGTCTTCCAATAAATGTGATTTTTGCAAATGTCATCCTCTAGCACAGCTAGAAAGTTATTTCACTTGAGAACCTGTGGCATTGTGAATTAAATGCCAACCCTGGAATCTGAGAGATGTTCCTGGTTTTTATAATCTGTTCATTTGCAGAAGGGTGTTTAGTCTGAGAGGTTTTGTGTGTAACACCAGGGGTTTGCAAAATACTGGTGAGTTGTTAATGATGAAAGTAATAACCTCGCCGGGGGCTTTTGCAGGCTAGGGTTCAGCTGGGAACATTAAGCTGATCTGCAGAGCTTTGGCCATCCCAAACTGTCTGACTGTCTTCTGTATTTCTGTTCCTTTTGTTTTTTCTGGCTCCCAGCAGGAGGTGGGAAGGGAAGGCCGCCGTTGGGTAGCTTTCCCACAGTAGCAAGGAAAAGGGAGACAGATCAGAGCTGGGTGCCAGATCTATTGCAGTCCGAAGGGCAAATAAATGTTTGTTTTAACCACATCTGCTTTTCCTGGATAACACTGCATGAGCTCAGTGATACCAAAGTGAACAAAAGCAGATACTGCTGGAGGTCCTGCTGAACCAAAGTGGGCTTTTCTTGAACGTCACTGGCTTGTTTCACTCGCAGGCCAGGGAGCTCCTTCTGCTGCCTTTCCCCAAGACATGTTTGCTTGTTAAATACCTGCCTGCGTGGCGTTCCGGTTCAGGCCTGAACGACATACTTGGCACTAAGGCCAAACGGTGCGTTCTTTGCTGCAGGAAGCAGACAAATGGCTTGTGAGCTGTGTGTGTGATACCAGAGATTTCTGGTGATGGGAACTTGGAAGCTCTTACGTTTCTTCGTGTCTCCATTTAGCGTTAGAACCGCTGCAATTGCCAGGCTGCTTTCAGGTGATTAATGAAGAGAAAACAAACTAAGACCCCCAAATCTCAAATGCTTGTTGGTAGCATTTGAAATCTTCTCCCAGCAGCACGTTAACTCAGTTCAGTAAGTGAAAGTAAAGGAGAAAACTATGAAATAAAGCTAATGGGTAAAAATGGAGTAATCTAATTTGTGGCAGAGCACAACCATCAGTTAAGTCATGCAGGACTGAATATAAGTTTAGGTTAATAATTAGGGGTCATATGTCTCTAAATGGTGCAGGATGGGGGAAGATACGGAGATGTGGGTGATAGGAATCAAACTCCCTGACACCTCCCAGCTCCTGTTAGAGTTGACTGTTAGAGAGCCATAAAAATCTACGAGGAGGGCCCACGGTGCTTTGAGGGATCTAGCCTAACTGCTGTGGCTAAAAGTGAATGGCTGAGTTAATGCATGAATGTTGAAATCTGCATTTGGAATTATGGAAACAAGTTGAGAAACAAGAGCTTAACTGATGGTTGACTATTTTCAGTGCTGGAGAAAGAAGTGTTATGTTTTCCTCTTTTTTTTTTTTTTTTTTTTTTTTTTTTTGAAGAAGCTCCAATGTCTTTTTATTTGTTTGTTTTAACTTATCTTTTAGTATGAAATGTCATTCCCAAAGTGAGGTAATGTCCTTGTGTTGGTGGCAACAGCTGGAGTTGCAGAATTCATAAATAATTCAAAGAGGGATGAAGGGTAGGGGGCTTTGAATCTTTCTAATGCACAGACGCTTCATTTTAGACACGGCATCATTTGAATTCACTCAATATGATGATTGCACTGACCTGTCATATTTATCTGATGTCCCTTCGAAGGACCATATGCTCTGTCCTTACAGTGCTCGGCATGGAAAAGGAAGCAAGTCGCTGTCCGAAAGGCAGTGAGGTTGCTGTGGGGATGAAGACCCTCTCTTCCTCTCATCACATCAGTGGATGTACTGCTGCAGGGCAGTAGGAGAAAGTGCAGTTGTTACATCAGTGCAGTGACTGCATGGTAGCGTGGACTGGAGAAAGAAAGGTGGAAGAAAGCAGAAGTTGTTTGCGTGAAAGTGTTCTAGGCATGAAGAACTCAGCTGCCTCTTAAGGCCAGGTGATGTGAGGTGCTTTGTGTGTGGGAGGCAGAAAAGACAGAAGCCAACTAGAGATCTGCTGTGAGCTGCAGAAATCGGGAGGTGCACTGTGATGGCTTTACTGTGGGAATACAATTACTCTGTTGGAAGCTCGGTTGTCCTGCAGTCTTCTGGGGATACAAAGCTCAGGTCTTTTCACTGACCAGTCCAGGAAGCTGCTTGCTTAGCTAAACAAAATCTCAGGTAATGGTTTTGGGAAAACATGCTGTGGGAGTTCTTGAATTCTGGCAGCCATTGCATCTGTTTCTGCTCTTTTTTCCATGATGTTTTTGTTTTTGTTTTGTTTTGTTTTTTTTAGAGGTTACACAGCAGTGTAACAGCTTCAAGTTCAGCCATGTGCCCTAAGTAACGAGCTGTGTGATAATGAGTGATGTGTGATTCCTACTGGCTAACACGTTGGCTCATGTTGGCAATTCATAGTAGATAACAGGGCCGTGTAAATGTTACCTCTGAATGCACTATTAAGAGGCAATGTTTTTATGGAGCAAGGTGTAATTGCAGCAGAGAGCAGTGATTTGTATGAAATAGTTTGTCCATTGAGCTCATGTCACTGGCAGAAGGAAACTAATGAAGTGCAAGCTAGAGAAATGCAGTAACTAGAAGCTGTGAGTAAGAATGCTAACTATGTAAAACTTTCTCTTCTAGATCCTGCCATTGATGACCAAACCTCCCTGAAATCTTCTTATCAGTTGCTGCCAAGATGAGAAGGATAGCAGGAAAGAGGAGTGTGTAAGTGGTTCTCATGACAGTTAATTTCATCATTTTATCAAATGACAGGTTGTTGGTTTTTACCTCAAAACTTGACTGTCACGACAAGATGCTTTTGGAAGCTATCTTTGTAAAACGAAACTGACAATTTTAGGGTACAAAGAGTTATTGTATCTTTGTGTACAATGTCATTATGGTAAACCGCTGGAAGGTCTTTATTTCTGAACTAATTGAACTTGCACACCTCACTCATTGATTTGAAGATCTGTTGAATGCCATGTGAGAAGTTCTCTTGCCAGTTTCTTTTCTCTTTTTTTTCCAATGAAACAGTTATTCTTACAACACTCAATTTGTTATTGTCTAAAGTACTGTTGCCCTAGCCTCCTGCAAAGTGCTTCTTCTTAGTAATTCTTGGACAAATAAGGAATGAATCAGGTTTTGTCCTTCCATGTTTTGATCAGCATATTTTACCTCTCTGTAAAACCTTCTTTAGTTTTCAGAATGACAGCATTACAAAGAAAGGTGCTTTACTTCCTTTGCTTTTTTTTTCCCCCAATTGCAAGTGTCTTGTGCAATGATGTTGTGAATATGTGCATTGCCAAAACACAATTACTGGGGGGAGAGACAAACTGCTGGGAATGTCATCTTATACCAAATTAAGAATTTTTAACTTTTACTTACTCTGCGCAATCTTTTCAACTATAACTCCAGATATTGCATCTGGCTTATATTTTGACTCTACTGGAACCAATGTGTCCTTGGAGTTGTATTTTAGAGTAATTTCAGATTCATATGTATTGTGGTTGTTTTTGTGTTGCTTTTGGTTTTTTTCCTCCACCAGTCTGCTTTAAACTGTTGGGATTAACTTCAGAGAAGGCAAGAGATACAGGCTCCTTTGCAGCAGCTGTGCTGGTTATAAAGGAGGCTTCATGCAAACTTGCTTGCTCTCTTTTTTGCAGGTTGTTGCTCTCACTAAGCAAGGAAGTTGAACTGTTTTCCTGAGCACACCCAGAATTAATTCAGCCCAAGCTGATCATGTTATCACATGCTGGTTACTGCTGGCCCGGGCCATTCTGATGGAAGAGCAGGAAGCACACAGACCAGCTGCACCAATGGCTTGCCTGGGAAGGGGTGTCACCAACAGGGGAGTTGTGGAGCTGGTGGTGGTTTGGTGTTTTCAGCAGGTGCAGCTGCATCTCTAAGGTAAAAATTTGACCTGTTGGAAAGCTGTGAAGCTATGTTATGAGTAATATTTGTGTTTCAGAGACACACTGGATAATGTAAAGTAAACCTTTGCTCTGTGACTCGTACTGTTCAATGTGAGTGAAGAGAGGTGGTGTGAGTGTGTGTGGCTGACAGGATGGTGATTTCAGGAAATCCTCTGTGCTAAAGATGCTTGAATGGTGTGGATGCTTCCATCTCAGCAAACACACTGTTGTGTGAACACACTCATCACAGAGGTGGCCTTAACCATTACATGCCTTGAAAGAAGGCTTTTGACACTTGGTTACCTGACTAGCTTTTAGAGAAAAGGGAAGAGCTCTTGCCTCTGCAGCAGAGCCTGTCTGTCTACCCACTGCTGCTGGTCTGCCTGATTCCTGCAGTGTGGGCAAGAATCCAGTAAGACATGCAAGCTCTCAATGTTCCCTGTGCCAGTATGGCTGATCTTTGGTACTGGAGGCATTCTGGGTAAAGCCAGCACACATTTCTTCAAACCTGGCCCTTTTTGCATGAAGACTGTGGACTGTAGGTGCTGTCCCATTAACAGGACTTGGGCAGACAAAGAACAAGAGGCTTTCTGAGCAGTTAGAAATCTGAGAGCAGCAACTCTGCTCGTGTCTCCTCTTGGGGCACTGCTAGATGAAAAGAATTCAGTTCAGTCACAGAAAGAACTGAGCTTCCACCTCAGCTGGTGCTGCATTCGATACCTTTTAATTGGTTCTGAGCAGGAGAACCAGGAAGTATGCACTGGCCTCTCTCATGTGCCATGTATAAGGGAGGGAAATAATGTGTGATATCTGGAGAAGAACTTGGTGCACATCAGGATAGCACCATGGCACTGCTTTGTAGGAGAGAACAGCTTCCCCTGGCTGGCGTATCCACAGCAGCACTGCTGTACCACAGTACCTTCAGACCAAAGCTGTTGCCCAGCCTCGTGTTGGCCTCCAAAGTAGCATGAGGAGATGAGATTTAGGCCTTAGGACTAAGGCAGATAATCACAGACTGGGGACTGTCCATAAACTTAGAGTGGCTAGTATTTAAAAATGATGTGATGAAAAGAAGTAGTAGATATGATATGACTGTGTGAGGCCTATTGCTTTCCTGCCAAGTTTTCAGTTAATTTGGCTATGCACTGCTATACACTGAGGAAAACATTTGAACTAATCAATCAGACAGTTTTTTAATCATGTTAGCCTCTCCTTGCAGTACAGTGCTCAGTGCATGCGTGGCTCAAAGAGGCGAACCACGTGATTTCCAAAATGCTCAGTTTGCCACTGAAGCAGCCCATAGGGTGAAGGTGAGGGCAGCTGCAGCACTTAGTGCTGTGACGACAACCTGAGGTCAGACCCCTGCTGAGCTGTCTGTGTTCAGAAGTGAAGCACCATGTCTTCCAAGGACTGCTGACACATCTGTGGCTGCTGAGGGCTGAGCCTACAGAGCTCCTTCAGACAGCCTGGAATCCTCACATCTTAATATGGGCCATTGTCATCCCCATGTTAAAATATTTAATGAAATACATGTGGCTTTCTAACCACTCTTTTCATCTACTCAAGTGTTAATACCAGATAGTTTCACATAATTAAACCAGTACTGTAAAATAGCATCTGTCTTATGTGGAGCACTGTCATGGCTACGTTATGCCAATGAGTAAAATTTTATGTCTGAGCACTTAAAATGATCAAGTATTATAGTTAAGACTGTCATATTGTTTATGTGGCACTAAAAAGAAAACAAAAAACAATTTCACAGCAGACATATATACATATATATATATATATATTTTTTCTTATAAATACTCCAAATAATAGGGTGGATTCAACTAGACTTTCTGGCTCTTCAGTGGTTGCTGCATTCTGTATGAATATATCAGGATCCTGGGCATTTCATAATTTATTTTTATTACAAACACATGATTTCTCTGTATGTTTGCCACAGATGTGTTAGACAAGACATAACTTCTTGAATAGCATTGTACTCTCACTTTCAAACTCCTTTAACTTCAGTTCAATCTTGGTTGAATACAACGCATTCCTGAAAACAATCTGTACATCTGTAACATGGCAAGTTGATTTTATAGGATTGTTTTCATATTTGAGACATAGCAAAACATTTTCAAGGTGATGCATGTTGATATATGGGGATAAAGATCAGTTACTGACAAAGTCTAAGGTGCAAGTTTTTAATAAGACTAATGAATAATTAGAAATTATCAGAAAAGGAATAGCAGATTTTCTAGCACTTTAGGATTTTGAAGGCATGTGAAATGGTTTCACAGAGGTGTATGCCTGATCAAATGGCTCAGCGGGGTGGAAGAATTCCTTGCAGGCTTCTGTGGTTTCTGTTACACTTGGGTTCAGACTGAGTTGCCTTAGTTGTGTTTTTGGCTTAGAAGAGAAGGAGGTACCTCGGTGTAACAAAGAGCTGGGGCATGGCAGCTCCCACTGAACTGCGAGGCACCTTTTCGTAAATCCTTTCTTTAAAAACAACAACAAAATGTTTGGGACAGATGGAACAAAACCAACTAATTTGGCAAACCTTCTCCCTTCTACAATCAAGCCTTTCTCAAAAATGCTATTTAATATCGCGGCACTTGGTTCCAAGGAGTGTGATGTTTCATTGGCTTTAGGTGGGTTTATTTCCTCCATCCATCCATCCACCCCAGCGCCAATGAATCAAGCAGCACATGCATTTTTTTCAGAGCAACTGTCTTTTGTACGCTGCTGCAAAGTGTAATGTCGCCTTGTTGCTAGAAATAATTATTAGGTTTAAAATAATCTGACAGCGTCCTGCTGTGTATAAATTAGGTTTGTTCTCTGCTAAGATCAGTTTGCTGGCACCCATTCACTAACACCAACACGCGATCGCAATTGGATCGCATCCGGTTATCTGCCTTTTTTCTTCTTAATGGGCTTTTTGTTGCTGTGCTGTCACCCAGGTTGAAATAAATGCATGCAACTCGTGCGATTCAAAGTTCTGTGCAGCCTGGGGAGATGGTAGTGGCTCTTCAGCAGCAGGCTCAGGGGTACAGGCACTGCAGAAGGGAAGCAGTTGTTTGCGCTTCAACTTCTGAATCTTGTGCAACTTTGGTTTTGGCCAACTTGGGTATCGTCTGCTCTCAGACAAGCAATATGTTACCAGTGAGGTCCCAAATGCCAGGTGTAATTAGCTCGTGTTTAGAGTGGTGTTGTTACGTTTTGACGTGTACGTGCAAGCCTGCTTTCATGCAGAACATATTTGACGTGGGAAGAATGCTGTGTGATTCAGAAAAAGTTTGAAACATTACTTAAAGCTGTGCACTGATGTTTCAGATTTCATAAAAGGCCACAAAGTTTTTATTTCTATGTTCATGATTGATTAGGGTTAGAGTTTTAAAGGCTTAACGCTGCCTCCAAGTACTTTGTAGTCAGTCACTGAGAATTATAGGCTTGGCATAATTCACATTTCTATTCTTCAGTATATCCATTATTGTTAGATGCTGAGTAGTCATTGCACACAGATGACTGATTTTTTTTTAAATTTTATTTTACAGTTTTACACATGTGGAAAAATACTTTGTTAGAGCAGCTTCTGGGTGAACGGAGTAATTAAAGAACTGCGCCGCTTTTATTGGAGTTGACACATGCTGCATGTTCTTTAAGACCCAGTATGTGAGCAGAATGCTTCCAGGATTTATTGCCAGTCAGACAAGTAAAGATACTTTTAATAGGAATAAAGATAACTTCAATTTTTACACTGTTAAATAAAACTGTCTTTAGGAAGAGAACTATGACTGTGATACATTGCTCGTGCCCTTGTTTTTTTTTCTGTATATATGCATTTTGTAGACACACCTGCACACAAATGCTGGAGACATGATCACTTTTATTTGACAGTAATTGTATGTTCTGTTTTTACTTATCTGGAGAAAAAATAGTGTTGTAATGCTGACTGAGGATCTTAGTTTGCTTGGTGCCAGAGGAATCCTGCAGTTGGTTTCTTTATTTAAACTGAAATGCAATCCTCCTTAGTTTGACTTGCAGCTCTTAGTGTCTGAGAGCTTGGTGTAGCAAGCAAGGAATTTCATGTAACATAAATTGGAGACTCAGTTTTGTTTTAAATGATGAGCACAGTGTTCTGCATGTGTAATGCCTTGCAAGTTGTGAAAAAAGTAGACTCGTAACTGCAGCACAGAGTGGCTAAGTGCATTGTACATGAAATCCCTCAAAATGGCTATTGAACAGATACAGTTACTGACAGTGTCATTTTTTGTGATGTGATCTGTTTCTTTTTCCAACATACTGGAACAATTTGAGGTCCATTTGAGAACACTCAGTCTGCCTTTCCTGTTAACAGCTCGTGTCTAAAAGTATCTTTAGCATTCCCTTTTTTAAAACTACAAATACGTGTTTAAGGCAGAGTTCACAAACACATAGCTCTAGAGATCAAGCCAGTTCTTAGCTCACTTTGCATGCCTTTTGTTCACACAGCTCGCGGTGTGGAGCACCCTGCCAAGCACACTGCTCCTCTGCGCTGCAGTGAGAAGTGGATGACCAGTGCTGCACACAGCTAAGCACACAGCCTTATCAGCAAGCGTGCTTTAGGTAGGTACGGGTGCAAAGTGCTTTCCTGAAGGAGCAGGCAGGTGTGGAAAATATCGGAAGGCCAGGTTCTTCTGCTGTGACTCCTTACAGCAAGCCCAGCGCCGGGCTGACGCTGTCAGCAGCAGCCACACCTCTGCCAGCCCCAGACGGTGCCAGGTGGGTGGAAGCCTGGGATCAGTGGGAAGGGACACAGCAGGGAAGACAAACATGCTGTTGTTTTCTGAACGCTTCCAGGTTAAAGCACGGCCATCTTCATCTCCGCACTGAGAGAGAGGAAGTCGCGGAGTCACACTGTTGAGCAGCACAGAGGCTGGAGGTGATTTTTTTTTTTTTTTTCCTCCCCCAAAGTCTTTTAAAATAGTTATAATTAAATCACAGAACTTTTGCATGGAAAGCGAAAGCCAGTGGCAGTTATTTAATAAGAAATGCTTTGTTAAGCATAAATTTTTAAAATTCTTAGTAGCAATATGTAGTATCTGTATTTTGTGTTGTTCTTACAGCTATTTGGCTTAAGACCATCATGCTTTCACTTCCGTATTTTGGGGCATTTAAACTGTTAAACTCTAAGCACTTTTCAGGCATTACGTTTGACTTACTGTTATTACGTACAATAAAATATAACAGAACACAATATTAAAGTCTATGCTGAAAGAATATTATTTGGTGGCTACAAATAAAGAATGCGGACAAGTTTTTAAAATCTGTTTGGGTTTTCATTTTTTTGCTAATTCTTTAAAGGAAGTGTTGTAATTATTAGCATTATTTTTAACACAGAAAAAAAGTGTTCCTTCCTGGGATGTATAAAATGCAGTAGTATACTGTTGTCTTATATTTCTAGGGCTGTATTAAATAAACTGAAAATATACACTTGTTAATTTTAGCATCCTGTTAGCATATGCAGTAGGAACTAGTTTTATATCTGAATGTGCCAGTGAGAAGCTGTGTATTTTCAGCTGTTTCTGTATCCCAATAAACCCATCCGACAGACTGGGCTCTGCAAAAGTTAAAGATGAAAAATTGGTTTCTGAACTCCTTGTGTGCTGCTTTAGCATTGCAAGTTGATTCCCATGTGCTAAAGTGTAAACTACCAAGTAATCCGTAGGAGTTTTACAGGAGCGAGTCATTTAATTAACACTTTCAATTTCAGATGTGAGAGAAGGTGAAAGCAAGGTCTGGAAAGCGGAGAGAGGCTTTGTGCTTCGTAGCTGAAGAGTTGCTGTGCTCTAAGTCTGCTGTTGATAGCACCCATAGACGGCCTCCTTCCTGCTAATTAGGCTTCCTGAACACAGCCTCTGGAAATGGCTTGAGAAGTGTGTTGGGTGGGTGTTTTTTTTGTTGTTTTTTTTTTTTCCAACCAACCACTACACCACCATAAATAAGGAAACTGCATTGTATGTAGCTATTACACCAGGCTCGCTTGGCAGGCTGTAATTTAATAGAACAACAATGATCAGACTAGTATATCAGTTAATTTTCAAAACATTTTATTCCACACAAATTAGCACAGGTCCTGGAGGGCAAAATGACAAGAGGTTACTCGTACACTATGTATTTAATTAATTGAAAAATGCTCAAATTGCTTTTACAGTTGTTATTAGAAAGTAGAATCAGTGTTGCCAGTGCTCAACCATAATTAGAGCCCCGGGGAATTAAATATTTAGCATTAGTAATGTAACAGCACTTAGGACACAAATTTCTATTTTTGTAATGAAAGCAATACAGCGTAAGTGCAAATGGCTGAAACGACAGCTGTGACAAGTGAAGCAGCCTGGGATATTTCAATAAGACACCGCATTGGACAGCAAGTCTTACCGCATTACTCGTCTGTAAGGGAGCTGCAAGTTGAAATCCCAGCAGCCACGCATTACAGCCCGCGTTTGGGCTCCTGATCGCTCGCAGGACAAGCGGCTGGGCAAATGTCACACAGCCGGGCTGGAGAGGGGCCGCGTTGCCCCGCAGCGGGGTCAGCGGTGGGCAGGGCGGAGCGGGAGCCGAGCCTCGTTTGTTTGACTTCAATTAGTTCTAAGCAGCAGCAGCGAGCTGTGAGAGGTCGGGCGTTGGCTGCGAGGAGCGGTGCTGCTGGATCGCTGAGGGACCGAGGGTTGGCTGGGCACGGAGTGCGGGGCTGGGCACGGCTCCGAGCTGCCTTTGTTCTGAGGCACGCGGTGCGAAGCATGAATAAAGCACGCGGCTCCAGTTCTCTGCTTTTTTCTTCTCAGGGTGGAGGGGAAGGAGGGCAGTTCGAAGCCACCTGTGTTTCTCGAATGAAAAAAAAAAAAAAAGCGGTCTTTGGACATGGCGCAGCTCGTCAGCGTAGCTGAGGCTGTGTTTCCTCAGAACGCGCCATCGGCTGGAATTGCTGCCGCGCCGTTTGCAGACGAGCTTCGTTCCCGCTCGGCACGCGCTGGCTGCGTGAGCCGCGTGCCGGCACCGCGCGCCGCTGCTGGGGCCGCCGTGACACCCGGCCGGGCGGGAACGGCGTCACGTGGCCGGCCAGCCCTGCGCACGGTACGACATGGCGGCCCCGCCCTGCGCACGACGTGGCCGCCCTGTGTAGCCGCGCGGTGCGGCTCCTCCGTGTGGAGGACGGGGCGGCTGGGGCCGGCTTTACCTTGTGTGGAACTCATCTTCGGCCCGGTTTGGGCTGTGGCTGCGGGTTTTCTCGGAGATGTACCTCAGCGCTTGGGGCTGCTCCGCAGGGGCTCTCAGGTAAGCGGCAGGCGATGCTGCACGAGGCTCGGCTGCACATAGACTCCTGCTGGCCGTGGGGTGCTGAGGTACGGCCGGGGTCACGGGGATTTTGGGTTGGGGTGTTTCCGTTTTTTGTCCCAGTGCTGTAAAACACAGAGGCAGGCCCTGGCCTTTCCCGTTCCTCACCTGTCCAGTTGAGGACTCGGTGCCCTTTTCTGCTGCAGTCCTCTCTTTGGGACATGCCGCAGCCTACCCTGCCACCAACCTCTACATTAAGACAAAAGCTGAAAGAGATGAGCTTCAGCCCAAGGTCGCTCGGTGTCCTGATGCTGTCCCTGAAACCAGCCGAACGCGCCCAGGAATTCACGCACTTGCAGTATGATAGATCTCCTGAATTTCTGCTTGGGGTTATGTTCTGTGTGATTCCTTCCTGTTTTATTTTCTCCTACTCAACTGAAGCCAGATCCCGAGTCCATGGGTATCTGCTAATGTCGTTAAACCCACTGTGCCATTGAAGGGCAAAGTGAAGGTTCAAGTCCTCCTCAAGCTCTCTGTGGTCTTTAGGGCCTGATTCTGCAGCAGGGCATGATGTTACAGCAATGAGTCTGTCAATACAATAAGGATGACAACTCATCTAACTGTGGTTACAGAACTGGACCCGTGGAGAGAGGGGCTTCCTACTGCTACTTGTTTTATTATAAATAGGGAAGCCGGACCACAAAAATACATTCAAAAATTGCATCCCACTGTTCTGAAAACTCTGAAATTGGGTTCATGCTGTGCCGCGTTGCTGATCTGCATGTTTCCAGACAGTTGGAAAACTTAAACTTGCATTACAAACCAGGCCATATTGAACAAATGAAGGGCTGTTTTTCAGTCTCAGCTCCCCGTTTTGGGAGTGGGGAGGAAGGGTGGTTAGGCTCTTAATGTTACACTGGCGTAGCGTGTGTGACGATGAAATGAATTGGTTAATGAGTGCCTAAGCATCTGTTCAGGCTCTGGTAGATACTTTGCCAAGGTTCAAGTTCCCTAAGGAGGATTAGCCACCTGGTACAGTTTTCATGATACACTGACAAAGGGGACACCCACCTTCAGATTTACTGCAGATGAAGAATGAAGGCTAGAATATAGTTCAGACAAATGTACGGGGTCCCCAGGAAGCTTGTGAAGTTGCGTGATGTAATTTTGTAATCTAGCGTCTACTTTTGTAATTGCTGTGATTACAGCAAGGTCTGCAACTGGTGTGTATTATTCTAGCGAGATTGAAATGTATTCTCTCAGCTTGTCTCATGCCGTCACCAAATAGATTTATTTATTTTCCTTTCTCTTAAATGGCAAGCAGCTCTTTGCGCGCAATTATCTCTCTTGCTATATAATATATAAAATCAATATACACCATAGGGCAACAAGAAATTGTGATAAAAATAGTTTTGAAGAGAAAAATGAGCATTTCATAGCCTGAGCTTACAATTAGGCTTTCTGAAGTGTCTAGCATTTGAGGCATGGACAGCATTATGAGTTGATGAAAGGCCTGCACTAAAAGGCTGAAATTTATGTGATGGCAGTATCGCTTTACGATGAGCGTGATTTAGGAGGACTTTGACCCATCAGATGCATTATAGCAAAGCGACTTGGTTCACTTGGAAGACAGAAACTTTGCACATTTGTTGCTATGCTTGGAAATAGCTGAAATCACACCGCCAACCTGAATTAAGAAAATTAAATAGACCTGATGCCTCTGAACTGAAAGAGGGCTGTGCATGCAAGTAGGCTTTTGTCACTGGCCTACCTGTGCTACTGAAGCCATGCAGGTTTGTTTTTTGATTAGTTAGTTTGATTTGGGGGGAAGAAAGGGCTGTTGGTGGGTGTTTGTGGGCCAGCCTGCTGCTCTGCGCTCATGGCAGCCTCCAGGTGTGCAGGAGTGGGTGGAGAGGTCCCCAGCTGGGCTGCTTCTGTGTTCCCCCAGCCTCAGGTGTGGCTGCTCTGCTGGTGATCAGCGGGTGTGAGATGGAGCTTCAGCTCCAGGGAGATGTGTGAGGATGCAAAGGAACTTCAGGGCTTTGTTCTGCAGTGCTTGGCAGTGTTCTGGGTGCTGAGGTGGAGAGGAGGCAGCCGGACCCTATGTAGAGCAGCTCGCCTGGCAAAGCAGGTGGCTGGGTGCAGTGCCCTACAGCTGGGTGCCAGGGCTGAGGTGGGACAACCCTGCAGAGCATGCTTATCTGAGGCAGTCAAAAACAGGTGTGTGTAGTACCCTCGGTCTGCATTTCTGCATGGTGCTGGAAGTGCAGAGAAAGAGTGAGACTTTGCACAACCCTGCGTAGCTGGTGTGTTCGCACAGCAGTGAGCAGGGCACTACCAGTGCAAGATGCTTGTTTCGGAACCCTCTTGTGGGTGTCCTTCCTTTCTCTTGGCATGGTGGACTGCGTCCCACTCCCACATGGGGGCCGCAGGGCACTGGCAGCAGCACTGCCTTCCCCGGGCTGCACCTGCCCAGTCATGTCTGTGAGAGCACAGGGGGAAGAACTGCTCTTGCTAAAGACGGAGCTTGTCTGCTGGAAGAGCGCCCATTCACAGGTGAGAGATTGTCTGTCTCAGTTTGGACAAGGGAACTAATTGTTCAGTCCTGTCTGGCTTTAAGTGCTCTGAGCAATATGGGTTCCACCGCTTCCTTTGGGAGATTACATTGCTTAATACATCTGAATATCAGGAAGTTGGTTTCTCGCCCTGGGTATTCAATCTAAAATTTTCTTTAATTAATTTAATCTCATCACAAGCGCTGGCGAGAGGAACAAAATATTTTTCAGTGTCAGGGTTTGCTTTTTCCCAGGATCCGCTGGGCAGCGAGCGCCGCTTGCTCATCCCCATGCTCAGGTCCTGCAGGTGCACGGGGGTGAGCAGACCAGGCTGCTTTCCAGGGCTTTCTCCAGTTGTTGGGGGATCCTCACTGGCCTGGCCTTCAGGAGCTCTGACCAGGCTCTGCAGGTTACCACACATGATTACTTTGACCTTGCTGCAAGTTCTCCGGCTGATAAAACTTCATTGTGGAAGAAAGTGTGTAAAAATGTGAGTATTTCTGAAGTACGAGGAATTAGAAGGAGGTGGAGGCTGCATGTGTGAGAGCTGCAGTGTCTCAGTTATCTGGTGATCCTGGCACCGGCCCCCGCGTGACTGAGGTGGATGAAGAATGGGCTCACGCTAAAGCTCGCGACTTGGAGACAGAATACATGAGTTTTGCTCCAGCTTACACAGATTTATTTTGTGACCCTGTACAAATCACTTAACCTCTTTCTGCCCAGAGTTCCAGCCCGTACAAGAAGGATAGTGTTTCCCTTTAGCAGGAGTGCTGGACAGTTAATTCATTAATGCTTATAAAGTGTACTCGGGTCTTTTAACAGGAACTGCTGCACACTCATGACGCCCTGGTGTTGATTCATGCCCAGCCCTGCGGCCGGGGCACGGCTTCTCTGGGGCTGCTGTGCTCCTTTGTGCTGCAGGCCTGGAGCTGCTGTGCTATCCGACAGCACGGCCTCCTCTGCTGCAGTGTTATGGATGCTGTCACAGTGATACAGGGAGAACAGATGCAATACATGTACAAAATAGAAACATTTCAACACTTAACTAATGGTGCATTTTTACAAAGATATGCAAAAAAACTTCTCTGCATCTGGAAGCACCTTGGCACTACCTGCTGAGCTCCGGGCTGGTCTTGAAGGGCACTGAGGAAGGTGCTGAGAGAGAAGGTGTTTTAATCTGTGTTTATTCTTCCTATGTTTTCTGGACAAATGTGTAACTGTTAGGAGATATGGGTCCTTCAGAGAAATGCTATCATATTCAGCATGGTGGGGCATGTCATTTCCCATTGGCATCATGTCATAGGCCACTGTAATATGTCAGAAGCATTTTATTGCAATGGCTTCATCACGCAAATGAGACGTGACGGGTTGCAAATCAAATTTACCGTACCTACCTTTAACATATACTAAATAAGCTAACAGCATAGATCAGGAGCTGGCAAACGCAGGCTGCTGTTGCAGTGGTGGAGGCTTGGGATCAAATTGGAGGCCAGGGGGTGGGAAAAGCGGTTTGATGGTTACTTCTTGGCAGATGCATCTTAGCTTCTCTGCTTAACTTTGATCAGAATTCAGATTCAGCAAGGACGAGATGAATGCTGCAGTGGGCAATCCCGTGCAGATGTGGGCAAGGCAGAGTGGAGGCAGAAAGCTCCTTGGTGTCTGTCTCTTGTTGCCCTGTGCTGTGCCGGGGCTGTGACTTCCCATCTTCAGCAGCGCAGAATGTGACAGCCTGCCCTCTTCCAGTCCCTCGGTCTGTGCTTCCAGGAGGATCTCCTGACCTCCACCAGCAGTGTCTCAGAAGAGAGCGCTTGTCAGCTCCATCTTAAGCATTGAAACGAAGAACGTGGGCTTTCTCATGGAGGCAGGTAGCTGCCCACCAAAAAAGACAAGCAACACAGGGACACTGTGCCCTCTGCTTGGAGCTCGGTGCTGCTTGTGCTTGCTGCACAGTGCACCTGGGTGGATGTGTGTGGGGGTGTTGTTCAGTCATGCTTGTCTGGAAGCCTTGCTATTGAGGAATGGCAAGGAAGCCAAGATAATTCATCCCACAATTAAATATATTAGCATTTATTTCAACAGCCCAGTTTAATCTTAATTTACAGTAAAGCTTTATATATAATTAGAACAATTATGTTATTTGGTAATTGCAGAATGAAATAAGTTTGTAGTAGAAATGTTGTAAACTTCTTTGAGCGCCGGAGATTGCTGTTAAATCTGTGCTGAGGGTAAAAAAGGAGAGCTGAGCTTCATTTGTGCAGGAACAGCAAATGCACAGATTAGCAGGCTGTTGTCTATGGCAAGGTTAAGTCAAAGAAAGCTTCAGTGCTATTATAAATTGAGAATACTCATATCTTTTAGCAGGAGCATTAGGGTGTGTTTCTCTAAAATACAAAAAGAAATGAAGTCTATGCACTGAAAAATATGAGGCTCTCATGAGTGCTGGCAGTGTTCAGAGGAGAAAAATGCATGAGGCAACCTGAGAGAGCTTCCTTAGGTCAGAGTGAGCGGAGGGTGGCAGAGCAGGGGGTCCCATGGCAGGGCCAGCGCAAACGGGCTGCGCTCGGTTCCTTGCAGAAGGGCTTCTATTGTTTTAATGGTTCTGTTGGACGAGTCGGGTCGTGTTCACAGCTGAGTACCAGCAAAAAGTTCACCTGTGTTGGACTTGGAAGTCTCGGGGCTGTAAGCGAGGCAAACTGCTGGCCTGGTTCTGAAGCAGGTTCCCTGTTTTCCTTTCTCTGCTGTCCGTTTCTCCATTGGTTTTCTCACCCCCATGCTGGTGGCTGTTCCTTTCTTCTGTTCCATTCCACTCAATACCTATTAGAAAAAGATAGTTTTTCTTTTAATTTTGCTGTGCTTCTGGCTAAGCACCTGTTGAGAAATGGAGAGCTGCCACCTACAAAGGTGCTCAGACCTGCAGTTTCCACTTTAACTCCATTATTCCCTGCAGTAAGACGATAACTGTTTGGGTGGCATAAGAGAATGAAGAGTCCCTGCAGCTTCTTGTCACCTCACCGCTGTGCTGTTGGCAGTGCTTAGTTCAAGCAGCTTTTCCAATGAACGCTGGAAGTTACTTTGAACCTACTGGATGGGAAGGTGAGCTGTGCCTTGTGCAGTTGGCTGATGAGCTCCCTCATTGCTAGCAGTGCATGCCTGCGTGCCTTTGCTTGCTGCTGATGGAGTGTTGGGCGCAGCAAGGTGGGAAGACCCTCCTCTCGTGGATGAGGTCCCAGGAATTTTGTGACGTGGTGTTTGAGAAAATGCTTCTTGTAAGCTTGACCCAGCCGTGACGGACTGGTTGCAAGAGCTAACGGGGCAAGATTGGCCCTTGCAGGGATGTGTTTGTGCTTGGGGTGCATAGAGGGTAAGCAAAAAAGGAGGGCCTTGACAGCTTGGCTTTGCACTGAGCGTTCTGTTCAATTTGTTTTTGAGTAACTTGAGTGTGTGGAAGCTTAGAGTGGGTAGGGAGAGGGAGACTACAGCTGGTAATAATAGCAGAGCCTTTCATACCATTTAACAGTTGTAAAACAATTAGGGGGAATTACGTTAATAAAGGGCTTTGTTCACACTTCTTGCCCCATTTTCCTTTCCACTCTCCTTTCTACCATGCTCCGAGAGCACATAAACAGTAGGGCTCTGTTTGTGCTGTGTATGGGCTGTGTTAGCCATTAAGCTGCTCCTGGACGTAGTTCTTCCCCAGTTCTCACTCATCAATTTTCCAGTGCTTTGGCTGTTGCGTTTTAACATGGCTCTTCCTAAACAAACAAATCCATGTTTTAGAAAGCTAAGATGGGATAAGAAGGGATTTGTATGGGAAGCAGCGGCCGCAGCTGTTCCCTCTGGGGCACGAACCAGAGCCCTTCACCACCCGGTCCTGGAGGACAGAAGGGCTCTGAGAATCCACCAGCTCACTGCCCAGCTCCCGAAACTGAGCATCTGCAGAGACGGAGCTGTTTCCCATGGGTGCTGCTGTGGGTGCTGCTGTGGGCGCGGGATGGGGTGGGCGCAGCGGCTGCCTGTGTGCTGGGCGGCTGCTGGAGGTTCGGTTACTTGGCTAAATAACATGTAGACATTCTGCTTTGAAGCCTTGTGTATGATAGTTAATTAGACAACATTTAATTTGGCTTAACATTTGTGTCAGTTTTGTGGAAGTGAGCCTCCATAATTAGGGAACACAGATCAGGTTTCTGTCAGACTTATAACCTCTCACTCTCATTTAATGCTTCCTTCTCCAGCGCCGTGTCACACTCCCTGTGCAGAATTTCCCTCCACTGTCGTTTCCGCTTGGCTGGTAACAAAGTTGCCCACATTACACAACTGACAGCAAATGGAGTCGTTGCAGGGATGTAAGGGCATATGATCCACCAGTATTAGTGGGAGCTCGCCCGTCGGAGCAGGTTACGTGATGGGAGTCACAGTACATCATACAGCGCCGTGTGTTCACACCAGCCTGGGATGCGGCTGACAGCAGCCTGTGTGGTAAGGCGTGGGGTGTGCGGTGCTTCCCAGGAGGAGCTCCGACAGCATGGAGTTACTGGCTGGTGGGGTAGGAAGGTTTTGAGTGGGTGCTTAGAAGAAAAGAGGGCTTTCCATGTGAAGATGCTTCTGTCTGGGATGGTGGCCAATAAGATGCACGATGCTAGGTGTGACTCAGGCACAGGAGCACTTTGTGTTCTGTGTTTTTAGGCTCTGGAAGTACAAAAAAAGAGGGTCTGGGATTCTGGCGCAGGGAAAATTGATGCATTATCCACTGAAGTATCCCTGATGCTGCCCTTACCGCTTTGTTCCATAGTTACAGCCAAGTGTAAAGCTATAGCTCTTACCTAATTTTCTGTGTGAGGCCAGGATGTTTCTTTAAAGAGCCAAGCATAGCACAATTCTGATCAATGTTTCCTTTCCTTATCCACCTTTCAAATACTCGAGAGTGAGGAGAGCAATCCATACCAATTTGTCCCCAGTTCCTCAGAAAGCTTTGCCTTCAGAGCAGCCCTTCCTCACTGCTGCAACTCAACACTGTGGCTGCAGAGCTGGAGGAGACCCTCTGCAGCCAGCAGTTTGCCAGCCGTGAGTTTGCTGCATCAGCAAAGTAGCCAAAGCCAGTTGTTGACGTACTGCTCAGCTCGCTGTGCTGCAGCTGCATCGCTGCCGTGCATCGTGGTGCCGCAGGGCATCCTCCTGTGAGGAGGCTCCTGTTAGCTGCTCAGCAGTGCTCGTTGGGTGGCTGCAGCATCGTGACGAAGTGCTCAATGGGCGCCCTTTGAGTGTGTGCTGGTTCTGCGGTTGAGACATGTTTTCATGGCCAGCCATACTGTGAAAGCACACAGCAGATCAGTACCTGGTGCTCAGGTTCTAATCGGTGCAGCTGCTTTCTGACCTGTAAGCACAATGCTGGGCCTGGGGTCCAGCGCACGTACAGGAGCACACACAGCAAATGTGCTGTTCCTTTGCTGTTGAGGAGGGAACTCGCTGCACTGTGGTGAAGCTGCCTTAGCGTATGGTTTGGGTGTATTTGAAGTAAGCCTGCTGATCCCAAAGATCTGGACTTCTCACAAATGCAGATTGAAATGTTGGTCTTTGACTGCACAGTGATCACCGTGACTTTACTGGGGTGTATGACTGGCCAATGTAAATTTGCTACACAGCTTTATTTAGTAAAGCTTCAGCCTCTTCCGTGGTCATTCTTGTCTTTTCTGTAAATCCTGACAGCCGTACTTTGTATGGGAATCAACATTACATCATTGCAACACAGGCTGTTTCCCTTTCCTGCTGCATTACTTTTGGGAAGTCATGCTCTGCCAATTTTTCTAAACAGAATGTCATGTTATTTTATTTAAAGGCCAGAAGCAGAAACAATTAGAGTAACAATTGTAATGAAATAATTTCTATTTATAATAAATGTTAGATTGCAGGGCTGCACAGCACGCACCTTTGGATTGCATTAAAAAAAGCGCAGCAATAAATAGTTTCAGGATGCAAAGATGTATGGCACGTGTTTGGGGTGAGAGTTTGCCCATGCTGAAGCCTGGAATTTAGAGGGAGACCAATATTTAGGAAAGGAAGGAGTTCAGCAGTGCAGTCACCTGGATGCATGATGCGTTGCGTTGTGTAGATAAGCACGGTGCTGATAAGGTGGGCTTAGTTGTTGTGCCAGCACCCCCAGCAGCCCTGCTGAGCAGCCCGGCTCAGTTCCCCATGGCCCACACAGCCGGCCTGTGAGCAGCAGCACACCAGGCGTTGTGCTGGGAGAGATGCCTGCAGAGCCTGGCCTGGGAGCTCTTCCCGCTCTTGTGGTGGTTGTGAGCGTGTTCAAAGACTGCTTCCTCTTGCTGAGACTTGTTTGTTCGATACGGAGTGCGTGCAGGTTTCTTTTTTACCTTTCTGTAAAGGATTTCTCTACGGAAATGGATGAATGTTGCTGTAGTAATTTTGGTTTGCAGCATCCTTTCCCTGAGAAAGGCGCTGTAAAAGCTTTGAAACTCGATAGTCTCCGGCATCATACATGCTTAGGATCCCTTATGTATCAAACAGAGTTCACGGCAAAGCTAAAGAAGTCAGTGTCCTATTGAAAGGCCCTTTATGTCTTGTCTCTTCTTTGTTCAGTAGGGAACAAAGTTTGTCATCCTGAGACACCAGACCTTTGACGAAGCGCAGGTAACCTATGACAGTGCGTGCGGCGCTAACAAAGAGTCCCTGTCAGCCTTTGTAGAAGACTTTGAGACTTCAGTCAGCGTTGACTTTCCAGAAGATGAGGAGCGTGTTGGTGAAGTGCTGGGCTGTGGTTCCTCGGATCCCTCAGTTCGTGGAGGAACAGAAGAAGCTCGGCGTGGAGATGAAAAGATGACAGAAGCAGCAGAATCCCAGAAGTTGCGATCACACAGGCAGATGAGGTGGGTGATAGACAATACTTGATATAAAATTCCTTTTTATCTTATCTGATTTGTATTCTTGGCTGTGATGAGAAATACATCTTGTTGTTTCTAATTAATTCTTTAATTTTCTTTTATTTATATTTTGAATTTAGCAAAATGCTGTTTCGTGTTAGAAGCGTTCTCCATCTAACCCAAAATGCGTTAAAAAGGCTATTTGCTTTAATCAGTGGATTTTTAATCTTATTATATGCTCCTCAAAAATGAATATTTCTTTGTATTGTGGAGTGTGTATTTACATAAATTAGTGTTATCCTTGGTTATTTTGCCAACCATAATTTATACGCTTTTTAGTTTTATCATAAAATAGAATCTCGCCTCTGATATTCTGGGGCCATTTTTAGCATCGTAGCAAATTACCTTGGGAGGAACTATTACACAGGCAGTGAACTGTCTTCCCTGAGTTTTCAAAAAAAAAACCCAAAACAGCAACAAACCCTCAAACACATACCACACTTTCAGCTTCCACTGATCGACCCAGTCTCTCTGTTTCACTGTAATGTGTAAGTCAGTTTTTGCAGTTGTGGAAACTACAAATCTGTACAAGTTGTATGTACAGTTCACCTGAAAAATGCAGTATTTGTTCTTTGAACAAGTCCAGAGTTCTTGGCCAAATTCAATTATTTTGTAACTGTTAAGGTTATTTTCTTATCTTCCTGCCTTTGTTTGTTTTTACATGATGTCAAATGTAGCATCCAGAGATGTTGACAAAACATTTGCAGAGAATTTTTTTGAAGTAATACTAAAGTAACTAAACTCACAAGGTATTAGCAGATGGAGATCTGTCTCTGTGGCAGATGAAGGCCCTGTGTCAAAATGAGTAGTGTAAGCTCTGTGTTTCTCTGCCATAAACTTGAAATATGAAAGCTTAAAGAAGAGCTGTGCTATGCTTTCTTCCAGTAACTGCTCTTCCTCTTCCCTGTGTACGTGTGATTGACTCACGTTCCCGAGGTGCTTCTCTCTGAGTTCCGTGTCACGTGGAAGTCTGCCGATCCTTATCTGGAGAGCCATTTAAGTTTATGGGGCCCCTGAGACAATTAGCAACAATATCTCCAGCGATAAAGTTATTGACTTCTGGGCAGTTACCTTGTTTGAGCAAAGCAGTGAAAGTTCTTGCTTTCCCTGCTGTGTGGTGTGGCTGAGCCATGAGTCAAGGCTTGGCTGAAATGGGACAGAGTTGGTGAAGGGAGGTAATGGGAATACCTGGCCAAGTCCTTGACATGCTGAATTCGGAGTCTTGCTGGAGTCTGGGTGCACTTGTCTTGGAAGTCAGTGCGAGTCTTTGTGTATTGGTGCAATGATGAAGGCAGAACTGAACACAGGGACCACCCTCATGAGGACACAGTGGTTTGTATTGCTTCAAGCTGTCACCTAAGTCCTTCAGGGCTCCTGGTTACTGCTGGGTACAGAGTCTAAGAACAAAAATAAAGTTTGCAAAGTGTGAGGCAGCAAAATGGCAGTGAGAAGAGCTTTGTGTATGGGTGTGCCATGTGCTCGCATGGGGTGATGGATGACTTTGCTGCTCGTTTCATTCAGACTGTATATTCGAGACTTATTGCTGAACTATATTTCCTATCTTCAAAATAACACTTATACAGATGTGTGTGTTATCCAAATTCTTACGTAGTCATTAATGCTGGCATTCGTACTTAATAGGAATGGATGCTTACTGTGGCACACATTTTCCTTTAGAGGAACATATACCTGCCTCCAGCTGTCTGGCTTCCTCGTTTCAGAGAATAGCAGTATTTTGATGGGCTGCTCTTCTATTGATTGATAAGTATTTGTGCAGTTGGTGCATGTTCTCTGTTGCTGGTGTAATGTGTGTGTCACGGATTACGCACGTAAGCAGCCCTAAACAATGAGCAGCTCGGTGTGGGTGGCTGGGATGGAACATGTGGGCACCAGAAGTGGTGTCTGAGCCAGGAAATTGTTACGTGGTGCACGTAGCACAGGAGCACAGCCTTCTGGGGTCGCCTGCTTAAACTGTGTTTTATGTTACACGGGATTATCTATGCAGTTCTGTCTGAGCAATTCAGCTATGTTGTGGGTGGTTTTTTTTGGGGGGGGAAGGGGCGGTGGAATTACTGCAGTGATGGCATTCATGTTCTTTCTAAACCAGCCTACCAAAAAAATAAATCTGGCATTGGTACTGGATTTTAATACAGATTGGAAATAATGCTCTTATCTGGAGGGAAAAAAAAGGTTTGCCTACTTGTGTAGCAATATGAATACTATGCTGGAACAAACCTTGAGAGCTGGATGATTTCTTTTCCTGCCTTTAAAGGCTGTTTTCTTCACCCTTTGAATTAAACTTCCACCTAAGGTGAGCAATTTCTGCCTTGAGCATCCTCCTTTCCCCAGCTTTTCTTGTGGCTCTTCCACTTGGTGTGGGACAGAAAGACATCATTCCAAACAAAGATTGCAGAGTACCTCAAAGGGTAGCTGGAAAAGGAGCCCATGAGTGTTGAACTGACCCGTCGTGTGGATGCACCCACTCTGGGTTCTGCTCATGCTGTCTGTGCACTCTGCAGAGCCACTGAGCAGTGGGTGGTGTGTGTGCTCAGCCCCTGCTGCTGCAGCTGCAGACTTTAGGGCCCTGACTTGGTGGTTCAGACCTACTTGTCTGCTGAAGGTGGTGGTATGAATGTACTTTAAGAAAAGAGGATAAAACTTGCAATTGATTCCTTTTTCGTTTGTAGTATTTTTTTATTTCAGTAACTTATCTAGGAGCATTAGCTATGGGTGAGAGGCCTGGCATGTGGAGCAGCATGCATCCAAACCAGATGATTCTGGCCCTGAAAAGCATACAGTGAGAATGCAAGTCAACATACTGATACAGTCGAGAGAAAAGTAACTTTTTTTTTTTTTTTTTTAATGTGGCCTCTGGCAGCATTTAATGACTGCGAAGATCCTTGATATCTTATCTTTTTGACTGCTATTATTCTGGAACTCAGTGGTTATACATATTCCAGCAGCATCTTTTCATGTCTCTGTACATCTTTATAAGTGTTGGACAAGTTAGTGCATGAGATGGCTCCTTTTATGTGTGCTAGATTTTGTATATTTTCAAGGGAGGGAGTAATTAAATTACTGTTTCAAAGGAGTTATCTACCTCACTAATAACTTATCTGTAAGCTTACTAAAGTAGTCGTTTGTACTATAAAATGACTAAATAACTGTTGTATAATCTCAAAATTGCTGTAAATCATTATTCCTCCTCGGTGGGGGCAGCTATGACTTGTGAATGTGTCGAAGCCTGACAGGTTTAATGCCATAGCTGCACATACTGGGAGGAGGACAGAGGAGTAATTACAGCTCCTGCTTTTATGCAGGACACTCAGATACATAACTAAGAGCTAAGCCAAATTGCACAGAAGGCACCCAAACAACCGCCTGCAGCTCTCTTCAACATCTCACTGACTCTGTGCTGACGGCTCACAGTCTATTTGAAGAAAATTCAGCTTGGCTTAACACCAAATCCTCTGCACCATCTCACTTTCTACCGTAAGAATCTGTGTGATCGTGCTGAGCTATGCTTCCCATTCCTATTCCATCAGCCACTGCCAGTAGGAATGGCAGAGGACTAAAGGGAAACAGCAGCAGTAGATACCTGAAGGATCTTAGCTTTTTGAAGGCAGAGATGAAGTCACAGTTACCGTCCATACTGCAGAGGAAAAGTGACAGCACTTAGGACCTCTGCAAGGAGGTCTTCTGGCCTTCCCCATGTGCAGGCAGGGAATGCGGCAGCCGCTGTCCTTGCTGCCTGCGGGGGCCCTGTGCCCAGGTCTGTGGGTGCAGAGCCACTGTTGTAAAGGCTTTGTGTGATGATGCAGTGCTGCTCGTGTGTTGGACAGAAAGCAAGAGTTTCATTCCTGCTGCTCAAACGTGTGCGTGCCTCCTGCAATTTTCCCTCTTAATGGTGCTCAACCTTTCTTTTTCATACTGTTGTATTAATAAAATGCTTCTAAAATAAGCTTCAGTGGTTGGCTGGTATTACAGCTTTAAGGAATAATTTTACCTTGGCAATGTACCTGGAGTCATTTGCTCCTGGGATCACGAATAGGAGTTCCACCTTCCCTTCTGCAAATGACTCCTCCTGATCCTCCTGATCGGTGACTGCAACTGCGTGTGCTATGTGCACGAGCTTGAGAGGCTGGAAGTAGGACAGCTGGCCCATGCAGAATTAAGTATTTCTAGCAAAATGACAGGCTTGACAATAGATTGTTATTATAATTGCAGTGTATGTTTAAGTCTGTGTTTAGGGAGCTTGTTGGAAAAAAGATCTCCAGGTTACAAAGAGAAGCTGCTTCGGGAAAAAATTGAATGACAGCAATGAATATCCTATTCAGATTGTATCAAAGGTGTAGGAAATTGAGCAAAACGTACCTCCGCTGATCTCACCTGCTTCTGTGTTGATTTTGGAAGTGAGCTGAGCAAGTTGTAACTGAGAACCGGGGCTGGTACCCACTGTCCATCTGTAGCTTACCTCTTGCAGAAAGCACGGACCCACAGCATTTCTTCTGGAGCTGGCTTTTTCTAAAGGAACAGAGAAGCTTTAGTGCTTACTGACTGTGGCCACAGGGCTGTGTGAAACTCCCTTAAGTTGCCTTGCAGACACCGGTGTTGCAGGTTGTCTTGCTCCTCAAACAGAGGAAGACCGAGAGGCTGTGAAATCATCCCAGCCCCTCCACTTGCAGGCAGATTGTGTGACGTTTCCATTTGGGGTAACACCTTTTCATTATTCAATGTATCACTCCCAGTTTGTGTTCCCAGGAGACTAACTTTTTGTAGGTATGAGATTTCACTATCAGCATGGACTTGGTTTTATTAAAATTAGTAATTTTTCATTGAATTAAGATGCTACAATGGATTAAAATGTAATAGTATTATTTGAAAAAAAAAATCTACATTTCAGTTAGTTGCAACTGAGCCCCATTAACTTGATTTCTGATTCTACT